TGTGAAATTAAATGCGTTGTTCTATAACATACTTCTAGCCCGTTTGTGAAAAAAGTGGCAGCAATTACGACGTTTTGGAAATTTTCATCCTGAAAAAAACACAGTTTCTGAAATTTTCACTATGGTTGGTGAAACGTTGTCTAAATATCTCCAAAATTTGAAAAATTCCGTCTTCAGCAGTTACATTGTGTCGCATTCTTAATAAAAAGAACTATACATTTCGCCAAGAAAGTGTTACACGAGAAATATTCTAACCACAGATTAAGAAATGTCTGTGAACGAAGTCACTCACACATCGAGTAGTCGAGTGGTCCTGATGCGGTTTTTTTAAATTCCAACGTTTTACTCATATCTAAAGTCAGACGTCAATAATAATTCTGCGGTAAATATTTGTCGAGGAGTTGTTTCCTTTTCCAAGTCCACGTGCCTCGATTAAAACCTAATTTAGATGCGTTTATGATTCACTTTTATATGAACACCTCTAATTATTCGCTCAATATATTCAACCGTAATCAATAATTGGCGTCATTATGTGGGATGCCACTATTTTTTTAGTAAATACGTACGTTGAAAATGTTTTCATGCATATTATACAATATTTCGTTATGCAGATTTTAGGTCATTTGGGCGTCTGTCTTAAGGGGAACGTATGCGTGAACGGTGAATTTATAGCAGTCTTCTGTCGAGAATTTTAAAAAATCTAAGCTAGTTAGAAACAATATCTCTTAACTGTATTAGTTATATAAGTTTTCTGTAGGGTATAAGACACTTTACAAGCTGATAGTACATTCGGAATAAAGAAAAAAAGCATATTTTTACTTCTTATGTTTATCATTACGTTTCTCGAACTTTACGCGCTGTTGAACGTAGAGAAATTTGCGCACGATACTACAAACATAATCACACCATGTAGAATGCTTTTATAAATATGTTAACACATAAATTAATCACAATTATTCCGTATTTTTTACAAAATTCTCGACAAAACTGCTAAGGCACATCCCGATGTTTACATGATATGTTTTTTCGCTGCGGAAAATTAAAGGAATCCTTGTATTTCAACATTTCTATAGTTTAGATGGATTTTCTTGTCCCATCATTGTCTTACTTATTTCTTCTCCATAAAACGCCAACTTTAAATTATTAAATTAACATCTGTAACATGTAATCTACTTCGCGGAACTGCGAGGTATTTTAGAGAAAAGTTTAATAAAGGCTTCATCAAAGAAGGCTTGGCACAAATACCATATTCACCGCAAATGACGAAGGTCTGTATAATTTTAAACATTTATGATCAAATTTAAAAAATGAAAGCAAAGCCTATAGGCAGTGGCGGCTCTTGCTTCCACGTCAGGAAGGGCGGAAGGTAAATTTAGGTACAAAGTGAAAAAAACAGTCAAATATAAAATGGGTAGTTTTATTGTACTATGGAAATATGGGGAAAATGTGCTTAACATTATTTTTTAATTTCTTCTGCTTTTGCCCAAAATAAACTTTACAATGATCTTTTCCATTAAACTTTGGTATTTCTCGCACCATTGATTTTTCAATAAATAGCAAGTGATGTTAGCCTTCCTTTCCAATCTAATTTCAAAACAATCTTTTAAAAAACACACGTAGTCTAGGAACGAAGAGGAAAATAGGGTGAAACCTCCGAATACTTTCGGATAGATCCGATTTTCATGAAAATTTGGAATTAAACTTATTTCATCCTGTAGATGAATAGTTATATATGTTTGTACGCGCTTCTTATCTTTAGAGGACGAAAACCACTCCTTATGCTAAAAAACTGAATAAATATAAGAATAGGTGTTATATAGATTAAAATCATATCTTAATATATAGAATAAATATAGTTTTATATTGTGGGTTATAATTTACGTTATTTTTATAAAATTTCAACGCTTAAGAACCACCCATAATGATAAAAATATAAAATTAATAGTTTCTTTGAACTTAAAATATTTTTATAGCGCATATATTATAAATACGAATCTTTTCAATAGTTTATGGTGTTGTAAATAATTTATTACAATATTTCAACCCTTAAAAAACTACCCCTAATAACAAAATATTAAAAAAAATTGTTTTTAACAGTTTGAAATGATTTGATAGTAAAAACAGAATAAATTAAATTCTTTTACCTGTTTATAATACAATTTATAATTTATCGCATTGTTTTAACCCTTAAAAATCACCTCCAATAACAAAATATAATCCAATAAACGATGCAAAATATATATTTTTTTTTCATAGGAACTTTCTCGCGATTTACTTTAATGGATAACCGAAATATTGATATGCTCCTAACATTAAAGCGGTAAAAGGTCCCGTTGTTTTTTTAACGGTAACTTCCTTAATTTTAAAGCTATTAAGGCGATCCAAAAACGATTTTACGGAAAATTTCGACAGATAAAAGTCCTGTAAAATAGAATATTTTTTAACGCGTTATTTTTGAGACTTTTGAGGATAAAGAGTTTGAAAAACAAACTTCTATCAGCGACATCTCTGTTAATTTTTATCCTACACAAATAAAAAAAAAACAAATTCTGTGAAATCTACACTTTTACTCCTGAATATTTTTCGAATCTTTTTTATTCTTACAGTTATTTTCAAAAATATGTAATTTTTTTGGAACTAAAATATTTTTTTTCAGTCAAAAAGTAATATTTTCTAAAATATTTATTCTAAACTTAAAATTAAACTTGTATAATGTGTTGTTAGCACATAAAAAATATAAATTGTAGAAGGATTACCTTTAATTTTAAATCTCGTGAAAAATTCCAGTTTTTGTTCTGATTTTTTTTTCCGAAATAGCGAATTAACAATTTATTTTGATCATAACTCTGTTAATATTTATGCTAATGACTTAAAATCAAGTTCATTTTAAAGATTTTTTAAAGTATGTACTTTAAAAAAATGTTCCGTGCATTTTTCTTGAAAAATAGAATTTCTTTTAATTGTTTTAAGTTACCTAAATGCACCCAATTTAATTTTTGGTGGACATGAAATTATCTTCAACCAGCCGTATCTCAGCACCTATTACACCTACATAAATTAAAAAACTCACTCTTTTTCTTTTTCTATAAGCTTCATTTTCTTCGTGATGTTTTTTTTCATAGAATGTCTATTTTCCGAGTTATTCGAGAAAAACTACTGAAAAATGTATTTTTTAATAAAAAATATACATTTTCAATCACCAATAACTCAGAAAACATTGACTTATCGAAAAATGTTTTTGCTTAAAATTGATTGCTTTATCGATTCCTTTTTTAATATTTTATTTTTCACCCCCTAGAAGGGGTAGCTTCCACCTCCTGGACAAAAGCGCTCATCGGCACTATATAACTTTTGTTTCTTGAGCTATTTTCTACTAACAGTTCAATCGGTTCTATCCGAAATCCGAATTCGAAGGGGAAACCCTTGGTTCCCTGGACTAACAAAAAATAATACGTATGTAACAAAATTTTACACAACACGTAAACGAGTTACATTTAATAACAAAAAAATAGCTATTATTTGGTTACGAACGGACTAAACACGGAGTCCAAAGTGCTTAGAAAATATGCGCTACTCCCACTCCGTCTTTCGCTGCGCGACAGTAACCATGACCACCGCTGTAAACACTTTACACATTTAGAGGCGAGCTACGAGGAGCCCATATATTCCGAGTTTTGCAAACGAGTTGAGTTAAATTGGCACAGTACAAATTTAACATTTCTTTTTTAATGTAAAATTTCTAGGGGGTGGCGCCCCAGAGCTCTCCGCACCAGCCGCCACTGCATATAGGACATATATGATAATACAGTCGAAAATAACGTAAAATTGTAACTTAGAATGGGCGTCATATTTACATTTTTAACACATTTTTAGTAATATTCATACCTCGCCGCTGGACAAGTTAGTGTAACTTCAAACAACGGCGCGCCTTAGTCGCAATGCATGCACACTTGGGAACTGCGGTATGCATTGTTGTCAAATCACATAATTTAAAGAAAAGTAAATTTTATTAAAAAGAAAATTTCCACACCACCCGCCTTTCAATAAAAGTGTAGCGGTACGCTACAATTACATTTAGTACCTGCCCCAATAAATATATTTTGCTTTCTGGGAATTTACCAGCCATATAAATCATACTTTGAAATATCCGAGGTTATCCTAAATAATGTATTTAGCAAATGAGATTAGAATAAGTAGGCTGTAAACATAAATTAGTTGTTGTTTATTAGGGTACATAAGCACAAACCGAGTAGGTAATGACCCGGATAAGTGTTAATTAGGATAAGGTAATAAAAGTAGGTACCTGGGGACAAGGATAAAAACCGAAAACATTTCGAGGCACGAACCAGAGGTCTTGAAGCCTAGTTCCTGCTCGATTGTGTCTCGTGTTACCAGCGAAATTAGTAGAATAAAGTTTTCCATGCTACTTAGAGTTTTCTCCTCACTTGAAGACCAAACCACTATAAATGTACCGCTCTTTCAACAGAAAACTCAATCAGTAATAAATAAATAACGAGAAATGAAATACACAAAATTAAATAAATAATATGTTCACTCACCTGATTTTTACGGCATATAACATACTTGAAATCCTGTGGCTAATCTTCGAGTACCTACTGGTACCAGGATCCTCTTCTATGGCATTTTTTTTTAAATTTTCATATTAGTATTCAGGGGAACATGTACCATTACCCCGAAAAAAACTTACCCCTCACTTAAAAAACATAAGTATTTGCACGAGCCTGTATAAAAAGTAACAACCATTTGTTGTGACAATAATTTTATTAGCAACCTAAACAGCAATTTGTGTGCCAAGCAAGTTACACAAATTTAATTTTTAAGTGAAAAATATACAGGGTGCCCCATTAAAAACAACTGTTAGCTCGGAGACATGGAATTTGTATTGTTCTATCTGGCACCCTGCATACGACGAGGAAAATCACCAAAAGCAACAAAAAAAAGCGATTTTTGTTGGAAACTTGACCCACCGCGGACCCCGCCTACGTGGGAAGGATCTCCTTCTCCATCTGGGTCAGCTGGATGTTCCTGTCGGTGTCAGAGGCCGGACCGGCGAACTCTCCAGTGCGCAGCCTGATCCTCAGGTCCAGACAACGGATGTCCGTCATCAGCGACTGGTTCTTGTTGGCCAGATCGCGGTCGATGATGACCTGCTGGTCCTCCAACGCGTTATAGGTGGCCTTGGCGCAGTTGATCTTGTCGATAAGGGCCTTGCGGGTATGCCGCAGCTGGGTCACCTCGTTTTTCAGCCCTTGCTCGGGCTCGTCGCGGGCCAGCTCGAAGCTGGGCCTGCGCGGAAAAGCAGCAATGTAATTTTTCTACCACCGCAAGTAAATTATATTTTATGAACTAGTTGACTATGGGCTAAATAAAAACACAAATACAAACGCGAAATACCATGAAGTACTACTCTTTGACACTTTATTCTTGATTTTTACAGCACATGACATACTTGAAATCTTGTGGCGAGTTCTGGTACCCTCTTTCAGAGCATTTAGAATTTCTGTGTTTATTTCTGTCCAACATTAGAGTATTGATGTTTCTTAAATGTTGAACCAATATTATAATAATTTTCTTATTCCATACTTATAGGTCAGGATAATCCATCTGGCATCGCCTTCTTGCAACAGCATCGTTCTTTTCTGACAAAAAGTAGGTTCTATCCATATTAGTTCTCTATTGAATCGTATACATGCTTTTTCGTAATATCACTAAAAAATTTGAAAATCTAAACACAAAAATGTACTGTACAGCATGAAAACACTGGAATCATTAACTTTATACACTGCACAAAGACAATTTACAAACTAAAATAAAAATTGGAACAGAAATAATATGGCAATTCGTTTTTTACCCGCTTACCACCCCATCGTATGATACCAAGTGCGATGTTAGCTGGCAGTAGCGGTTTTTCAGAGACGAAATTACGGAATTTTAACTGAACAAGGGAGGCTATCCCCCGTTGCCCTTAGTAAGCGTTCGGGACAAGATCGGACTCTGCTGAAACTTAAACTATTTAATTTTGTTGCTGTTTTGTTTGCTTTGGATGAATTTAATATGTCTAGCACCAACTGGCTGTTAAAGTGGCAACTGGCAACGCTGATAGTGCACTGATACAACTTACCGCGCTAATAACACGTACTATTACCCCTAAAAAACTGACGCCCCACTTAAATCATCACTTACATCACTCTTTCAAGTTCACTGACTGAATAAAAAAGGTCAGTGTTGTTGGAGTTTGAGTTCATTTCATTGCGATATTAAACAAGACATAAAACGCGAAAACAAAAAAGATTAAAATTAAAACAAGTTACGAAAAGAAACAAATTAAGCAATGTCGGATTCTATTAATAGAAAATCGCATTTAGATTATACAGAAGGTTGAATATTTTTAAAATCTCCGATCATCTAAGATAATTTCCAATTATAATATATGTTAATTGCGGAAAGTCCCCGTTAGTCGCGTTGAAAATTCCATTCGGATTGCGCTCTGAGTTCGGTACATTGACGCAAAAATGGAAAGTGATTTTGCCCATAATAGGAGTAGCGGTTACGTACTCGTAACAAAAAAAAAACATAAATGTGATCCAGAGCATTGCTGACAGTTCAAAAAATACAAAATTATTTTTAACACTGGCAGAACAATTAAAATGAGAAGCATAATTTCACGGCCGCGACATTCATTTTTTTTAATTGAAGGTTATCATTGCAACCTTCGTAGAAATTTTTACATTGCGTAACCTTCCTTCTGACGAAGTAGATCCCACAAAAAAATGCCACGTTACCTCTCCAGAGAGAATTGATGTAGTCCCTTTTGGGGTTCGTTCTTGGCCATTGGGAGGGTATTGGGGTGCGGATATATTTATATACAGGGTGGTGGACATTGTTTTGTACTTGTGCGTTTAAAAATTACTGAATTTCGCTTTTTGGTAAAAGTACCTAAATTATTTTTAATTACGGATGATTATTTGGATGACGTAAATCTTTGGGTACTTTAATTACATATTTTTCAAATTCATAATTTCATTAAATGTTAAGTTCCTGTTTTAAGAGATTCATAATTACTAAAGTTCGAGCTAAAATTTAAGCACAACACTAGCTTCGCACTACAAAATCGATACATTTTATTTTATTACTACTAAATTACTAAATTTACTAAATGTTTCACAATAATAGTTGTTTACATTTTTTCCGTAGGACAAGTCTGCCGTCTGCACACGTGGTATGCATCAGCTGTGTAGCGTTAGGTTAAGCGCTGTTGTCACGTTGTAATGAAACTCCCCAATATTAATACTCGCTGTATTTTGAAAACTGTTAATCTTACACCCCTGTAATATATAACTTTTTTGTTGGCAGTCAAAATTCTTACACCCTGTATGGATGAAGGAATATTATAGGAATATACAATATTATTATTTTATTGGCTGATAGAATTTTAAATTTTGAAAATTCAATTATTTTAAATAAATTTTATAAATTATCTTTAAGTGATATATTATTTCCTTGATTTCTGAAGTGGTGATAATTTCTAAATGGGTTATGTCGTTAGAGGACAGACTCGTTCTCTGAATATCTCTAATGCTTTCCAGTAATTTATATAAGAGGAAAATGTTGTATTAAATTAATAATTCTTGATTAAATTTGCTATTTATTTTCGATAAGGCTACGAGAGAAGTATTTATATTTTGCTGTACTATTTTTAAGCCAGTGGCGTATCGATTGGTGATATGGTTTGCGAATTATGCGTATTCGTCCATTTATTTTACTATATTGTTTTGGTTAGAAAACAAGTGATGAAGATTATTGTTAATATCTCTTAAATCACCTTGATCTAAATTACCTGTGACGTACCTGATCGCTGATCCTAATATGTTTAAAGCTCGGCTTTCGCGAAAATTTAATTTCTTTACTTGTTCTCCGATTTGCACACAATTATCTTCTAAAACGTTTACTAGCGATAGTGTAGAATCGTTTTGTCTCACGCTATTGTTAAATAATAATGGTACATGCCTTAATAAATATTGCCTCTAAGTCTTTATCGTGAAAATAAACACCGTACAGGTATTTGGAATCGACTATTTCCTTAAGGGTATTCTTTTAAAACGTTGTCCATAACTCTTTGAAATGGATGGCGCGTTACGCAATCCGAAAGGCATTCTGACATATTCGTAGTGTCCGTGATTGACCGAAAAAGTAGTTTCTTCTATACTTGCTTTAGACATTTCGATCTGGTGGAAGCCTTGTGCTAAGTCTAGAGTATTTCCCTAAGTTATCTAGTACTTCGTCAATTCGTGGGAGAGGGTATTTGTCTTCGATTGTTTTGCCAACACAGACAAACAAACCATCTTCCGGGGTTTGTATGAGCGGAACTTTATTCCGGAGGCCCAAACAAAATTCCGCAGCAATTTCACTCTTTCATGTAATTAGGGCGTCGTCCTTTAAATTTCCCAACACAATTCTAGACCCACAGAACAAAGAAGAAACTGCTCCCTTTTAATATGGTTGACTTATTCAAGGTCGAGATTCTTTATCACTTTAAAACTTATTTAATAAAAAAAATAGATGTGCTTAGGTACCGATTTAGTAAGGCGTTCTGCTGCCGTATCAAAAAATTAACTAAGCAAATAATATTTTTTGGGGGTTTTACCAGAAATTATTCGCTTATCTCATAAGTGTAAAAATAAACTCGCCCACTCATAGCGATAGCGACAGTCTTAGCTGTCCAGTAATGACTCAAACTACTGGTGTTTTACTGTTTTACTTTTCGTAAGGACAGAAATCCCCACAATTTTTGTCAATGCGGGTTTTAGAAAAGCGGCGTTATCAAAGCGTTGGCTCGTAACAACTCAGGCTGAACGTGAAGATAAACTTGTTTTCTGCCTGCCGTTGGGTTTTCCGAGAAATTTACAGCAATTATCTCGAATAAATACTACATTTTTCTTTTAGCGTCGTTTACAAATGAACCACAAGGCACAACATTAATTGTGATTACATTTTACTAATGTTGGCATGAGAAATGGTTGTTTGTTGTAATTAAGATTGCGTTTATAAAAGTGATATATTTTTTTCAATGATTATACAGGTCGTATATAAACTGTAAACAAGCCAATCGGTGCTTGGCATATTAAATTAATCCAAAATAAACAAAACGGCAAAAAAATTAAGCCGTGAATAGTTTAAATTTAAGCAGAATCCGATCGTGTTCCGAACGATTACGAAGGGCAACGAGGGATAGCCTGAAAAGTCGCTATTGCTTATCGACTTCACACTTGGTGAAATATAACTGGATGGTGAAAGGGTAACAAAACCGACACGTTAATTGGTGAATATCACCGTTTCATTTGGCCACATTTTTATTTTTGTTTGTAAAGCGTCTTTGTATAGCGTAAGTAAATAACCTTGTAAAGTTTTTATTTCAGTATTTAGTGACGGTACAGTGTATGTTTGTGTTTTCACTTTCAACAAGAAGAGTTGATATGGTTAGAGCCCACTTTTTGTCAGGAGAAAACGATGCTGTTGCAAGAAGATACGAGCGAAATGAGATGGCTTATTTCAAAGTGTAATAAATTTTAAACGCGATAGAAGGGGAAGTCCGAAGATTGGCCACAAAATTTCAAGTACGTCATATGCTATAAAAATCAGGTCTTCTCTTACCTGTACGAACGGTTCTCGAGCCTGGTCTCGGCCAGCTTCAGAGCGTCGGTTTTGGCCAGCAGCGCGTCCTCCAACGTCTGTATCTCCTTAATGACCTTGCTCATCTCCTCGCGCATCTTCAGCTGCTGCCACTCGATCTCGTTGCGCGCCTTCTGCGTCTCGTAGATGCGCTTCCGCAGCGTGAAGTCGACGCGGTCGCGCTGCGCCAGCATGTCGTTGCGCGCGCGCTCGCGCACCACGAACAGCGACTCGCGCAGCTTCAGCGTGTCGGCCAGCTCGTTGTCGCCCAGCTGCTTGATGTACTGCGAGTGCTCCAGCCAGGACTCGTAGGGAATCGAGCTGGAAAGGTCGTTCGTCTTAATCTTGAACGAACCAGAGTTGTTGCTTGACACACTTACCCTTTGACGGTTCGAAGGGAGTCGGTTTTAAAAGTGATGTTGGCGCAGTTCTTATCCAGATTCAGCTGGTCCCTGTCAATTTCCAGGGCCTCGCTTTTGTCGTTGATTTCCAGGTTGAGTTTAAATTTTACCTCTTCCAGTTTGTTCAGCTTCTCCCAAACCGCCTGGCACCTTTCCACTAATAACTTCTTGACGGTCTCCACCACGCACAGCTCCTACACGTGGACAAAATAATGTTCGTACAGGGTGTTTATGATGAAATACATAAAAATCAACGGACGGTTTATTAATTTTTAATGCAAAATACCAAGTCAAGCTCATAAAACAAAATAAATAAAAATACACTACAATAAGCTATAAATAATTGCAGAGCAAAATCACGGAAGAAACGCAGAAATATTTAACTGGAGCAAGCTATTTTTTTATTTAGTTTTCACGTGAGTCCAATATGATTTTCGACGCGATACAGCGTTGCCGATTGGCCTACCTTTTTCAGTTCCATATCCCCGTCGTCGTAAGTCAGTTCTGCGCCCTGTCTGCAGTCTCTCATTGAAATACATTCCGATATTACGCTCAACGGAATGCCTAAGGCGTCGAGTTCCCTCTCGGTGCTGAATTTTTCGTCTTTCAGCAGGTTCATCTCCCTGTTGATCCTGTCCATCAGCGCCATTAATGTCTGCGATAATATTTATTCGGATAAGTATTATACGAGGTCTGTTCAGAAAATAACCGAACTTTTTGAATGGAGATATTCAGTGATATGCGATTGGCAGCACTGCGTTGCGCAGAACCTCCTCTGTAGCCACACGTTCGGGGATTGTTGATATCTTGTTTAGTTTTCGTGATATTGCTATTTGACAGAGCTGGGTAATTACTTGTAATTTTAAAATAGTTACAATTACAAATTACTTTTAAAAAAAAGGAACTAATTACAATTACAAAGTATATTCTTTAAAAAAGGAATTATATTAATTTAATTACAGTTACATGGAAAATGGATTTAGTAATTACTTTTCTAATTACTTTTATGATAAAGTAAATTATAGTGACCAAACAGAGAAAAAGGAAAAAGTTAAGTCAAAAATTGTAATTAAAATTGTTGTGTAATATAGCGTTTTATTATTTATTAGAATTGATACTAAAATGAAAAGATTATTCTGATTCATTTTCTGATATAGAATTTTTATATTTTTATTCCTAATCTAATAATTTAAACTAGTTCAGTTCATACTATAATTTTATATTATTGGTCAGGTAATTAATTCAACCCGATGCTCTTTTTTTTGGTTGTTAATACATTTGCAAAATATAGAATACAGTAGTTTTGGGTAGACTGGAAAGCAATAATTATTATTTAAAAAATTACGAATCGAACAAGTACGAGTGAAAGGCTGAGTAACCGAACCAGAAGTTTTCTCAACTCAAAATAAGAGCAGTAACACATAGATACATAATATATATTTTTATAAAACTTGATGCTATAGACAACATTTTTTTACTTCGTATATTTTCTAAATTAATAATAATTATAATAAAATAAAATGTACTCTGTTAATTCTGACGTTCATTCACCAAATCACTTTTTATTGTTCACGCGGCACAAGGCTTTCCTCAAATGAAATAATAGAAGTCTGCAAGTCTGTACGCAATTACGCAATACGCATGATCTTAAAAGTAATTATAATTATTAGAAAAAGTAATTGTAATTGGAAAAAGTATTTGTACTTATAGAAGTAATTTGTAATTCGATAGTTCAAATAATATAATTACAAATTACAATTCCTATAACAATTTTGCTGCAATTACAATTCCAAATTACTTTAATAAAAAAAAAGTACTTAAATACAATTAAAATTACAGGAAAAAAAAGGGAATTGTAATTGCTAATTACTTTTTCACCAGTAATTACCCAGCTCTGCTATTTGAGAGCAAGTGTTAGTGACGATTTTTGAAACTTCCGATTTTTTGGAACGAATGGATTCGCAAAGGATCTCCACGCCCATAATAATGTAAAAAATTAATAATAAAGTTCGATTATTTACTGAACAGACTTCGTATATTATATATTTTTGCCGTGACTTTTTTCAGTTAACTGAATTTCGATTAATTTTTTTGTAGGTAAAAATCGGTAAAAATTATTTAAAACATATCTAACATTAAAAAGTGACACACTGTACTTATAATTTTCTATGAATTCCATAATCGTAATTTAAAAAATATGTATTATTGTTCTGAATATGAATAAAAGAATAATCGCATGAGGTAAATCTTTGCGAGGTGAATCACAATAATTTATAATTTTTATGACGTTTTCTCAATATTATTTACGGATTGAGTAACATGCAGGTAGTAACTTATATAATAAAATAATAATTTACAGACACGCTATTATCGTATTTTCAATTTACGTAGACTGAATAATATTACATTTTATAATTAATCAGTAAAATGAGAAAAAAATGGTGATTCATTAGTACGTTTATATTGAGAAGAAGAAGAACACCTACAATAAAAATGTAAATTTATAAGGGTTTTTATAAATTGTGGTGTATAATTTTAAATACTTATATGATACAAAATAATAAGTACAAACAGAACATTCGAAATTCCCGCTGCAGTTATTTAATTCACGGATTATTGAAGTAGGTGGCGCCGCATGCCGACGAACTGTCACAGTCGTTGCCAACTCTTAGCAGAGAAATTGTACTTTTATACTTAAAATTATACGGTAAAATTGAAATATTATTTATATATTATTTATTAATAACAGATACCTACGTACTTTGTTACGTTTATCTCCTCTCCTTTGAACATTTTTAACGTCTTACCTGTTTCCACCTGTCGAGTTCGAGTATCCTGTCCGATAATCGGACGTTATTGTGGTACGTATCCCATTCCGTCTGGACCTTGGTCTCGTTGCGCAGCTGTCTCGATTCATGGCGCAGCCTGAAGGCGTCATTGCGCCGCGTGTCATTTGTCTGCTGGTTCTGCCACTGGCTGGCGTACCAGTCGGCCAGGGAGGAATGAGCAATGGGCTTTTCGAACGTTACAACCGACATTTTTCACCTGAAACAATAATAATTGAAAATAAGCAATACTGTAGGTCTCAATCGTACATTGCACTGAACAATACTAGAGACGTAGGTGATATAATCTAGAAGGCATTTTATATAAAGATTACAATATTTAGGAAACACCTTGTATATTATATAGAGATAGTTATAATTAGAGATCGGAAATGTTAGGGCAGGTGCAATGTGGTACAAGGTAGCTGTAGGGTTATCTTTTGTGTAATTTTATTCAATCTATCTAGAATAGTTGATATTTTTAATAGATGCTATTTTTACTAATGGTGGTGAAGCATCAACTACTTCACATTTTAGTAATTCCACTATCCGCGTCATTGTACAATAAAATGTACATGTCTGCCTCTGATTTGAACCTTCGCATCGATCAATTTATTCTATACGTATCTAGCGGCACCCTAATGCCAGCCCCGTCGGCCTGGCGTGCAGGTGAACGCAGATTACTATAGTTTATTTATTTGATTGTCGCCACAAAGTTTCCGATGCCCAGTTATGATACCTGTTATGCCTAATAATAGTTTGTGTCATGAGAGACACGGATACTCGTTTTCTGAAAAAAATGTGTTACGTAAGTACAAATTAAAGACGTATTTCTTGATCGACGTTAACAACTTATGCATATTCTCATATCATTTCATGTTTTACAAAAAAAAGCCGACAAGAATAATAATTTTATAAATATGCAAGTAGCTGTTAGGTGGCTATTTTAGTGATGCATGTATTGAGATCTTGGAAACTACGAGATATAAAAAATGGGAAAAGAGTTAGATGTTAGATCATTCTGTTGACATAATGACACTTGGCTGTTCAGGTTTTCCAGGCATTAAAAAAGAGAGATATTTATTTTTTTAAACTGTGTAAACTTGATTAACTTTTCAACAAAAAATTTCACTCTGAATTCATTTTTGAAGCTTTTCCACGTAAGATTACGAAAATTCGAGTTTTCTATTCAAAATATCTCGAAAACCAGAACAGTTATTCGAGACATCCTGTATATTTTCTAAAACAAATATTCTACTTTCTACAGATACTAACTATTTATATCGATTCTATCTGCAGAATTTAATAAATTGAGTTTAACTCACCAAAATAATAAAAGGAGCAAGCAGTACCTAATCGTCAACTTTTGACAAAATAATATTGACTAAACTGAAGGGTGATAATCCATAGAAACGGTAGTCTACAGTTGTTTATACCGTAGAGTCCCTATCTTCTGGAATACCTTTTCGCTATTTTGGCATGTGAACTGATAATTTAAGCCATATAATTAGAATTTCGGCTACGAGGATAAAAAACGTTGAAATTTAGGAAATATAAATGAGCAAGCAGAACAGATACAATTTTTTGCACGCGTGAATATTTTTCTGGATTTCCTATTTATTAACAGTGTTTATAGTTATTTTGCGCTTAATACTTAACTAGGTTATATGAACTTTAATACATTTACTGAAAAACGATTAGATTAATGAAAATTCATAAATAATAAAAATAGGCGCCATAGTTAGGCAAAATAATATATTGATATCTGTATTTTGGGTTGCATAACATCTAAAGCAAAGATACTTGTAAGTGCTGAATCAAACTGCAATAACTACTAGGGAAATTTCGATGTTCCAGATCAGAAAAGTTAACACACTTTTAATTAACATCAAAATTTGTTATCGACTGTCTTCTAAAAAACGCGGTAGGCTGTAACTTCGCCATGTCTGATCTGATTTTAAAAAACAAAAGATTATTTACTATCTTTTTGTTTCAACGCCTGCCTTTCAATTTTTTAAAATGGAATATTTATTTTTTATTTTATGACAACTTAATTTTTGCTAAAAATGTACGAGAAAAAAGCTTTTTCAGATATTTTAAGTTACGTCACAGTTAAGTACAGTAAAATAGGAATTTTTTATGGGTTGTATCTGCAAGTTTCCTGGAGAGAAATGCCTTGCGAAAAATATCTCAGACATTTTTGTACTGTGTATTCTGATACTGGGTGTTAACGAAGCAGGAAATTATTTTTAAGGAATTTTATTAAAAAGGCAATTTTCATTGTATTCACAATTTCACATAAAATATATTCAGGAATTAATAACATACCTTTTATAAAAAAAATTGTACAAAGGATAGTTTACAGAACATCGTGTTAACCGACTTTAATCTTACATATAAAAGATTAAAAATTAATTTACTTTAATTCAAATTAATTATAATGTATAACGTACAAGTAAAAAAAATACTGAAGGCTATAAACAATTAAACGTGATATTCCCTTCGTGGAAATCGTACTTGAATTCATAATTAATGTTTTTCATAACTTTATTAGGGAAAAGGTAAACGCCTTGGCGAGTGTACATGTCCCAACTAATTTTTTGCCCTATTACGACTGGAGCAATGGGACCAGTCGTAACTGCGTGTTTTGGCGAACCGTCCATATCCCAGTCCACCCACAGTGCAATGCCATTGCAACCCATCTCTCTACAAAAAAAATCTAAAGTAATTTAACCAGTTTCACCATTTTATACTTCCTTTTTTTTAACTTTAAGTCAGCTAGGTAACATATCTTTTCATATTTTTTATTTTTGTAGCGAAAAATCTTAAAAACATTTATTCAGTTTTAGAAAAGTGACAATATAAATAACTCGATAAAAAATTTATAGGGACGTTGAATAAGGTCTCGCTGTTTCCAACAGATGACGTTACCAGAACTTTTTTTTTTCATAGTGTTTAACCTGTCAAGTTTCGTGTTGAAAAAAGAGTATTTGTGAGGGTATTTCACTGCATTCATTTATTCAAAAGAAATCTGTAGCTGAAGCGCACAGAATTCCTGTTGGGACTTACTCGACCATGCTCTGTCGGAAATGGGTCGACTTTTGAATGTTCTCAAAAGACGTTTTTCCAACATGGAACTAAAATGCTACGAGAAAAATGGGAGAAAGTAATGGCTAGTGTTGGACAACACTTTTAGAGGCACGTTTTTTTACATATTTTTTTAAATACAGGATTAATTTTCATGAAAAAACAGCGAGAAATTATTCAACATCCTGAGAATATTGTTTTATTTTAAATTCTGGAAATATTAACTGAAAAAAATATATGTATAATGAATTCTCTATTTATTAAAAGTGAAGTGAAGTTGATACTACTGAAGAAGTCTAGAAGGATTAAGGCATGATCTTCCCATTACAGTAAAAGATATTAATGAAACATACGTCTGCAAATAAAACGTTCCCTTCAGCTCAAGCAACGATTCCGGTGTGTTCACCAGGTCTATCTCTGCAATCACCATTTCCTCGCTCAGAGCCGTCCCGGGGTATTCCCAAAGAGGCTGAGCTTCAACTTTGTCATCGCTGATATTACTCGACGCCTAAAAGCAAATTCTTGGTCATAAAAATTCAAACGTAAACTCCTACATTTACCCCAATGAGACGATCAAAGTCCTCCATCGGGAAGCCCTCGCATGTTCCGAGAGGCGAACGTATCTTGTATAAATCGGTAAAGTGAACGGCGACCCCCTTTAACACGGCCTTCTTCGGAAAAATCTGAGCATCCGGGAGGATAAATTTTCTAATGCTTTTCAACAGATATAAAAGTAACAAGTTGTCCCATGGTAGAATACTGCTCATGAAGTAGGGTTCGCTTATGACGACGTTCACTTTACTCAAATCCACTTCATTCAAAACATCGAGATTAGATATAACTTCTACGTTTTTTATATTGTTGTGCCTTATAAATTCTTCCACAATTCTCCTGGATATCTGATTCGTTTCCGTTACAAACACTTTCTTTGCTAGTTTCGCAGAAGATAAACCAAAATAGAAACCTTCCGTAAGGATTAACACGGTGCTGTCGCTGTTAATATGAGTTTCGAACAGAGACGCATATTTTTTGTTCCTCCTGGGGTCATTGACCTGACCCACTCTTGTACGTGAAAAACAACTGTGCACTCCGCACGTGCAAACCGGGTTCATATAATGTCCCTCACTTAAACGCAAATTCTCAGTTAAATTAAACCAAAGGGAATACTCGTCGTGACAGCTTATCAGATGCACTTCTTGGCCTTTCTTCACTCTTACCTCATTGGGGAGATAATAGACGGCTTGCATCCAGTGATCACGCCAAGGTATTTCCGCGTTTTTGTCATTTTTTGTATCTGGATGAGCCCAGCGAGGGGCACAGCTTAATGTTATCTTACCTTCCGTATCCATTTGCAGCTCCCACCACATAAAAACAGCCTGAGCCGTACCATCATGTTCCGATTTAACAGTATTGATGGTGAATCTGTCGAAAACGAATGGTGTCTTGCCCGACCAATCGAATCTAAGCACGGGTATGGGGGAAATTATTGTGTTAAAAGAGTGGGTCGGTAATTGACTGAGTTGAATATCGTGAACTGCGGCCGTTCCCGGACAAGTCTTAATAGATTTTGGTATAGACACCAACAGTTCTCCGTCGTTATTAAAAATATTTTTCACTTTATTCCAATTCTGTGCTAGAGGGCACTCCACAACTTGCGCATAAATCGTAGCCGAATCCGGCACGACTATCGAATCTTCTTCCAAAAGGTGTTTATGTGCATGACTAAATGTAGACAAAGCTCCTTCGCCTATGAGCTCCGAATCAAAAACTTCTGTAACCAAAATATTACACTTTTGTTTTAAGTCCCCTTCCTCGCCGACAGTCAGCTTTGTCGATCTTTTCGGAATGATCTTAATTTGATCTTGGAATCCGTTCCGTGAAATTATCTTCTTAGCGCACTCGCTCATAGGATTAAAAGCTTCGCAGGCAACGACTAAATCGGCACCGTTTCTAGCAGCCATCATAGACAGTAAACCGGTGCCAGTTCCGATATCTAGAACATTAGCTTTCCTTCCTTTCGAGTGCATGTTTTTAATGGCTGAGATCAGAGCTTGCTCGTATTTCTCGTTTCGCTCCTTATCATGTAGCATGTCGGCAAAAGCGGCTCTGGCTACTTCTTGATGATAATCGTAGTCTTCATTTTGCAAAATCCAGTCATTGGATCCAGTCATAGGATTGATTTTCTGAATGAACACACTCATATTTAAGACTTCGCTTCTAATATAACTTAATGCATTACAGAAATATTTTCCGTACATGCAGAAATTGAAAAGTGTGCTGAATAAAGGGTTATGTTAGGTTATGTTTACATCAAGGTTTCTTGACATTTCAAAGCTCGCTTTGTAATACTGGTTGCATATATTTAAGGATAAATTTGTTTATATTTTAATGGTTAAAAATACAGCCTGTTTTCTGATATTTTTCTGTATTTAATCTAGCGTAAGATTGTTCAGTTGAAATGTATGTAGAAATTGATAAGCATTTACATTGCAAATTTTATAAATAACTACCTGTCTACATATCTACCTATAAATCTTGATTGAAAACTTATTTCCTTTAAAACAACCGTGACCAAAATTTCATTCTTATCTTCATCCACTAATTTCGATTATACCAATATGAATTGTGTATGTAATTGAATAAATTAAATACTATAAATTAATAAATAAAGAAACATTTTCTAACACAACAATTTGTTTTCAAGATTTTGCCAGGTAATACCTAAAATAAACCTTTTTCAAATTTCAGAAATAAATTTCAAATTTGCCGCAAACATCTTCCGGATGCACCCCACCAGGACCCGGTGGCCATGTTAAATGCGTAACATCCTACTTCCGTCCTTTCCATTTCGTCATCGACCGTAGAGCTTGTGCCAGTGTTGTGAGTTTGCTCCAATGACTTTTTTTAATAAGCCAAGTAAAAATGGATAACGGTGGTGATATTTTACGATTATGCAGACTGTGTTTAGTTAAGGACGATGTTAATATTCCAATTTTTGAGGAACAAGGTGATATTAGGCAAATATTTCTGAAGATTAGTTCGTGTCTACCGGTTAAGGTAAGTTGGCGTCACTCGCCATATTACTGTTTCTTTTACTTGATAGTTGATATTCGACAGATTTTCTATTTTGACATCGTTTATGTTGTTTACAAAACAGAAAAATGAAGGCGAACTTTGAAAAATTTCAGGGGCTAATGAGAAATATTTCCATACTAATATAAAATTTATTTATATTATTTTACTAGATTTAATGATGCGTAGATCCAACGTCGACATATTGGTTTCAGATTTTTCATTTTTCTCCGAATTATGAACTTTTTAAAGTGAATTATACTTTTCGATGCTTGAATCGATTTTCTTTGGTAGTGTAAAAATGTTTTGGGCTTGGCTTGGGTGCTGGGATGTAAAAATCAATATACAGGGTGTCGACTGGAGGGGCTTTGGGCGTGGGGTAATAATAAAGTGACCTTCAACATGTTTGCTTCTCTGGCAAAGTACATCGACGTAACGTTTCTACGCCGAGAAGTGCCTTGTTGAAGGTATTCGATAACGAGCGCAGAAGGATAGCAATGCAACGATATATTTTACGGCTGTAGCCGGTAATTGAAATGTTCTCTTTGTCCTGCAAATGAATGTTATTACTGCGCATTTCACATTTAATGGATACTTTGGCTGATGTCTTTCATTATATTCTAGGATGGATGTACTTTATAATAATTTTATGATTGAAATTTTACCAAGTGCATCATTTGGTTTTCTCAATAAATTAAAAAATTAGCACAGCTATTAGTGCATGCAGTATCAATAAGTGCATTTATTTATGGATGCACTGTACTTGCAGTCATTGACCAAGAAGTGTGGACTGCTTACATAATAACTAGTTATTGACTTGAAATCAACATTCCAGGATTAAAGTTTATCTTAATTTTTTTTTCTTTAAATGTTTTTTAAACTGATTTAAACGAAACTTGAGAAGTTTTTTTGTGTGAAATATTAACAAAGTCTTAGTGTCAAGTTCTACTTTTCTAAATTTAAATTAATCTCGTTTTCTTTTTAATTTGCCCAATGCTTGACAGCACAAGGAAGCTAATACTGTGTACTGTTTTCAATTGGGCGTAGATTAAACAGAGTTTTTCTGAGGATAATTGTCAAAGAAATTGTTCTGAAACCCAATTCTCTGTACAAGGACATATAGATTAGGCGAATAAACAAAAAAAGGATGTAACTATACATGCATTATTGAAGTAATTTTTTCGTTTGTCACCAGGTGTCACGAGAAGACAAATTGCCCAAAAAAATATGTGATGGATGTTCCTATAAGTTAGATATGTTATATGAATTTTGGAATACGACCGCCAACGCGGAGAAGCAACTGTTATCATGGTTGGGGGAGGCTGGCATGAACGCCAAGATGGCAGATGGCACGATATCTGCGGTGGCACAACAAATCAAACCTGTAGAGACTTTTGTAAAGCAAGAGGCGATAGATCCCTCGGATATACACACGGAGGACGATGACGACAAAAGTTACATGTTCCAGCAGAAGTTCGCCGTCGAAGAGGTAAGTCGGACAAGTTATAATCTTAGCGCGGAACAATCATAGCTTCATGAAAATCGTGTTTACATAAAATTATTTTTTTTTCTCAATATTAAAAAAATATCCTTAAATCTAATTGATCAGGAGCATATTCGCTTCAATTTAATTTGGTAGTTGCGTATGGTGTACTATTCTTGTATCATTTGTTGCAGGCGGGTCCTTCTGCCACTGTTACCTCGAATGAGGAGGAGCCTCCCCCCAAGAGGGCGCGACGGACGGCCGCCGTCAAAGCCCAGATTGCAATGGACCCCGAAAGCGATGACGACGACGATTCAGGGGAGCCGATGACAAAGGTGCGTATCGTCGCCCAATACCTGTACTTCTTTTATATTTTAATGTTTGTAAGTGCGGCATTGGTCACGACTAAGGGTTTTTCTCTTATTGCAGGTCGAGGACGAAAGTGAAGAGAGTGAAGGCGATGATCACGAGCCTCCATTCGTCGACGTACCCTCGACCAGCGCTGACGATCAGCCTGGTCCTTCGGGCGTGGGAAAAGACGGCGTCGAAGCACCGTGAGTACTTGTTTTATTTCACATTAAATTCCCTCCTTTTCGCGCCTGAATGTACACCGATTTAACTGGTTTCGCTGCTGGTTTACTTTCCGTTATATATTTTTGATATTTTTTATTTTTTGTTTCATGTAATTGTATTTGTTTTATTTATACATATTTTTTCTTTTTCTCGTAAGGTAAGTGGATGCTTTTAAATTTTGGCAAAACCAGTTTCGTGGAATTGTTAAAAGTAATAATTTATTTTGTGCTGTGAAAAAACACTCAATTTTTTTTTTTAATTTCCAGTTTCGACTTCAAAGTACATTCAGGTAAATTTTTTCTCGACAACAAACATTAAGCTATTTGCTTGGGAAAGCGTCTGTCTTAAAAACGTTCTGTTCTCTCCCCATTTTGAGGATCGAATGCGAAGTTTTGAAAAATATTTCCGCAGACATCTCGACCATATTAAAAATTCCATGACGATTTTGACTTTAGCTGGATTCTGCGTACAGAGAATTTCGATCCTTCCTTTGTATTCTTCGCCTTTGGAAAATGGCTCTTGTTCATTTTCTGCTTTAGAAGAGTAATTTTTAAGGACCGAATCCTTTTCTGTATGTCTGAATTTGCCGATGGAAGTTGTATATAGCGCATGATGGATTTGTTGCCATTATGAGCTAGCGATAGAAATTAGCGTGGTTTTTTGTATTCGAGATGTTTGGCATTCTCCGTTTTGTGTATTTTGTTTAATTTTTTCGTTTAATCTGCGTAACGTTTCGAGAAAATGCCTTCTTTGACCATTTTCTCGCACGTACTTCGGCAGCATAAATAAAAAATTGAACATACACGAAAGTTGACTTGGAAATAATTGTCGAAAATTTGCATTAGTTCTCGATTGTATTTTATATGGTTATTTGTTTTTTTCAGTTGTTGAAATATTTTTAACAACGCAGCAGTTGACAAAAAAATCATATAAAATTATTTTGACTTAATAATAATAAATAATAATAATATTCAGACAGTCTTACCGAAGCTCATTAGCAAAATTTAAAAAAAAAATTGACTTGATTAGTACTTCCAAATTTGTTCTACGCGCTTACTGTTTGTTGTCCTTGTTTTGATATCGATACTTGTCCTTTTGAGATTCCGCTGAATCTTTATACTGCTCTTGTGGCTTTGTCATTGTTTTGGCAAAGTTTTCTGGCTTCAAGATTTTTTTTGTGTTCAGATTTTTGTAAAAATTGTTGTTTCCGGCACCTTTTCGTGCTGGAAAACTATATTTCAAATTTGACACTGCAGAACGTTTCCTGTTGTGCCAAGATGGATTTAGTCATGATTTGGTAAATTTTCATTTCTTCAAAACATAATTATGGTTTGATGAAGATAAAATGTTGATTTTGTGTTAACTTCAATACAAAATACGTGATTGTTGTTTTAAGGATTTTTAAAGAAACTGTTGTTTCTTTGAAACTCTTTTGCTGGGTTTAGTGTAGTAGTAAGTAGTAATCGAACCTTGTGATTTAAAAAAAAAAACTTGGAAGTTCTGTGTTAAAAACGAGTGAAATTTGAGTACTTATTTTTTTGTTAAAGTAGTGTTCAATTTCTTAATTTTGTATCGAGATGATTAGTTTTGATACTGTCGCAAAAAACTTTATGCTGAATTACAAAAATTGTCATGCATTATTATTTTATTAAATTAAAAATGTCATTTTGATTTTTAATTTGATAAATGTGGTTTTTTCACGGGTAAGTCTTTTACGAAATTGATTTTCTTAATGAAGGTACGATTAAAATCATTCAAATTCAAATTAACTGAATTTAATTAAATTTTCATAAATATTTGTGAATAAATTTATTCACTTTTCCTGCTAAACTATGAAAAGTGTGTTTCCTGTTCTGTTATTCGAAGCTTTAAATATTTTCCAGTGCATTATTTTAAGTGAAAACACAAAATTGCTTTTGAAAACGTCCAGATAACATTTTTAATACATTGTTTCCATTTATGAGAAAAATTTTTGAAACATGTTTTTTACTGTCTGCAATATTTGTCTTATGAATGGCTACAATCCGTTAGCAATGTTTTCAAGTTTTACGACTGAAATAATGGATTGTAAAATATTTTTTTACGTTCAGTGAACACTAATTTTTATTTTTACAAGTTCTTTGGTAAAAATAACGATTGTAATTAAAAATATAGTGAAATGCTTATTATCGTCTACCAGGTAGTTTATTTAAAAACTGATTAACGGTAACGACTAATATGACAATGCTGTTTGGAATTCCAATTAGCTAAGGATTTGCGTTGCCATAAATTTTGTTTCTATGAATATTTCATTGTGTAAAATTAAACACGCATGTGTTTACTTAATACTGTTGTTTGTGTGGGGTACTTAAGTGGTTATATTAAATGAGTAAGTATTGGTTTTCATAATGGCAACCAAGTAATGGGCAGGGTGACCAGTGAAATTTTATTTATTGTCACCACTAGATTTAAATACAGTAGCCAAAAAGTCACCATGTTTGAAATAAACATTAAAATATGTTAGGTGGCACCACATTAATTTTTCTTAATAAAATATACTGAAAGAATGTTTAAAAATAAAATAAATATCGCTACCAAGTAGTGAAAAAACAAGTAATACCATAGATACAAATAAGTCGCCACAGTTGCTGTGTCGCCACATGTGGCAACTCTGTTAATTTTGCGATTTTGCCACATTATTTTAAGAGTTCTATTTCTAGGTATTTTTTCATGCATAGGTCTGTCTAATATGAGTGTCAAATGTCAATAAAATTGAGTTGTTTTGATATAGTTAAGTTGCTAATAACATTACTGTCTTCGCCATTTACTAACAATTGGTGTGGTTTTAAAGTTATTTAAACCGCTTCAATTTTGAAGAGATTTTTTGATCTGGTTGTATTATTTTGCATAATGATGTCTACCTATAGATATATTCTTGAAGAAGTATATGTGACTCAAATATTGGAATAGGTAGAAGTTTTCTTCAACTAATTTAGCTCGTCATTGTGTCCAACCTGTTTTCCTCCAAAGTTATTATGTTTATACTAGATAAAATTGTAGGAAGCAATAAAAAATCAGAGCGGTTACTGATATCAAGGAATTGGAAGTTTATTACTATTATTTATTGATGTTTAAATATATAAAAAAATGCTTACACAAGTCGTAAAGGTAAAGTTACAAACACACACATACACATTACATAAATAAATAAAAGTGTTAAATTAGGTTGTTAAAATTATAATTCAATATTGTAGAAAGCTGCTTTAATTTTATACTGTGTTACTACGGTGAAAGGTGTCAATAATTTAAATTTCAAAAACAAAAAAATTTAATTTTTAATTTTTTTTGTTATTGTCAATTTTTGAATTTAATTTGTCATGAAAAACCAGGGTTTTCTTTCTACATTGTAATTAATATATTTAAACAAAAGTGCAAGTTATTATTTTTATATTTGTTGTATTGTAAACAGTAAACAATTTCTATGTTGTGATTCGCAAATAATTCAATTGAAGTTGTGTCTACATTAAGTAGAAAAAAGAAGAGGGTCTGTTATAATGGTAGTTTATTAAATTGGACGGTACGCTACAAATGTCATGTCTTTATACTCCATTATACTTCGAAATGGAAAAAAAAACATGTAAGAATAAACTTGTAGAAATTGTAGAAACTTATTTTTTTAGTGTCTGTTGCGGAATTAGATATACTGTGTTCACAACTTTTTTAGAAATTCTAAAAAGTTTCTTGCAACTTTTGTCCTCATATTTACGTTATAAAAAAACAGAAGATAGGGAATACCGTGATAAACACTCTGTACATTTGTATATAGTGTCTGGAAGCAAATGAGCCCTACTTCAAGTGTAGCTTTCTTGGATAAAAAATAATATAGGTGAAGTTACTTAGTACAATTTTAATTCCAAAAAAAGTCACTGAGCTTAAGATATTTCAGTTTTTGGTAACTGATTTACGTAGACTTATTTTTGAGTACCTGCAACGTTTTTTTTTGTTGGTAAATATTTTCAAAATGTGAAACCTCAATTTATTGTAAAAAAGGTATAATTTTTGCATGTCGCTAAAATACATTGATTCAGATAAAATTTGATTTCAGTTTTCTGTTATTATGGACTGTTGAGTTTTTGGGGGCATTCTACATAGTTTAATTTGATTCCTTTTTTGCGAAATTTATAGCCATATTAAATATTTACGATTTAAACTTAGTCCTTCAGAATAGAGGCCTAGTTTTGTTTCAGTAGGCGTTGAATTTTGAATGGAGAAAAGTTTAAATTATAAAATATTTAATATAGCTAATCTAGCAATAGGGTGGATTTTAACTAAATTAGAATATCTCCAAATACTAAAACTGCTGTAGAAAATTGAAATACATTTTCATCTAAAACAGTGCGTTTTAGTGACATCCAACAAGCATTTTTTTATGGTAAAATGATATATAAAATACCAGCATTTTTATAAAAGTCTACCAATAAAAAAAAAATAGCGACCTCTAGGTAAAAAATAATCCTACGTTCTACCTTCGTTTTCAAGGAAGCAAAATTTAACAAGGTAACTACATACTAAATCTCCCTTTGAAGTTTGACCCATTCGCTTCCGGATATGTCAAAATTATTGTTTTGTAATGGTTTTCATAAAAATAAATCGGTTCTCTAAATGTGTCGCCCTCAAGCTGGGAAATAATCGCTTACCTCGAAACCTGTACAAGTTTTTCAAGAGTTTTCGACTGACCATCGGAGTTCCATCGTCGCAAGTTGATGAGATCTTCACTTGTTTAAAGGCGGAAGAGGTCTCCAATTATCCAATTTTAAATAAAGCAAAGTAAAGATGTATTATTTTTTATTTTTTTCACCTTACCACTGCACGTGCATATTAAAATTTCCTTTAAAAAAAAAATTATAATCTTGGGCCAATATTTCCGTAAAAATTAATTTTGCAAACTTAAGATTTCGAACTCCCGATTACAGATTCAAATTTGATTTCTAATAACATTTCT